TTGCTGATAAGTGCTCTGGTGATTCTTCTCACAGTAATCTTGCACTCATGGCAAATCAACACAACCACCCCTAAAAAAGACATTTCCGCTTCTCAAGCGATGTTGATTTTCTGATGATTTTCTTAACATCAGCATCGTTGGACAAAAACAACAATCGCGCCACAGCATTCACCAAAAAAATGCTTGCTGCACTTTAATTAATCATTCTTGTCTTACAGATCTATACATTGCAAGAATTAACATTAGCAGTCCTTCACAATCATAAGAAGAATATTTCCTCTTCTTAAAAAAATAATCTAAACTCCAGTTTGAATTCTGGCAAAAATGAAATAAAATGTGAGAAAGCTGCGGAAATTGCACGATAAAAGCGTGTTTCACTAGTGAGACCTGAAAAAAAGATGAGAAAAAGTCTTTTAGAGGTATCATCGTGTGCAGGAAAAGGCAATTCACGGACATGAGTGCCACTTTAGTGAAGCTAATGTGTAAGTTCAATAAGGAAGATCTGTATTCACTCATCACGTCTGCGTCCCCATGCTGCCAAACTTAATTCTGTCCTCATCACTCTGGTGTCTTTTTCCTGCCTGCCCTCTGTGAGCAAATTAGCCTCTGTTCTGTGTGCTTTAAATCTCACTGCTCTTCTGTCATTTTGTCTTTAAGACTGTCATTCGTCGTTTGCCATTTCCACTTTATCCTGGCCAGACAGAGATAGTCATCCAAGTCTCCACCTGCTTCACCACTGCCACCACCAGCATCTAGATTCCAGGAGGTCCTGTTATACTCTGTACCATCTTTGGACTCGTGTTTCTCTCCTTATTGTTAGTTTTGGTTCATGGAATTTGTAGTTCTTTTTTACATGCTCAAAAACACATCTGATACCTTGACTCTCACCAGAAATCTGTATGTAAGTATACCAGAAAACTAAACTACACTTTCCTTATTGACGGAGGTGGTGTCTATAACGATCTGTCTCCATATCACTATATGCCTAGCATTCTTCTCTCTTACCTCCTCACACCACTGCATGTCACCTTCACTTGTGGTCTTCATCTTTTCCACCTGCCTAGCAGCTCCATATTCAACATCCTTTGTCCAACATATCCTCTGTCCCACCTCTATCTCAGCCTTGCCTCTCCAACTTTGTATCCAGGCCACCTCAGCCTGAGCTCTCCCTCTGATGAACTCATTTCTAATGCTGTTCATTCTGACCGGTGAAAATCCAAACAGCTCAACCTCCTGTCTTTTCATCAGTGCCACTGTCTCCAAACCAAACATCATAGCAGGTCTCACTAACATCTTGTAAACCTTCCCTCTTACTCCCGCTGCAATTCTTCTGTCAAATCACCCCGATACTCATCTCCAACCACTCCACCCCGCTTGCACTTTACTCTTGTACACTGTCCATTGCTTTAGATGGTTGACTGCAAGTATTTAAACTCATCAGCCTGCTCCTGCCTCTGCTCCTTGCATCTTCACTGCTACACATGCCTCCCTCTCATTCATACACATGTATTCTGTCTTGCTTCTAATGAAGCTTATGCGCACGTTCAATAAGGAAGACCTTTGGCCTCACATTTGTCTCTTCCCAGGTGCTGCCAACTAAATCTAAGCCTTATCACTCCCACTTTCCCACGCTGTCAAGCTGTTTGTGTCATCAATGGTCTAGTCCAATCACCTTCTCCCAGCTTTTTACAGGCCAATCAGCATGCATGCCGCGTACTTTAAATGTCACTGTGCATCTGTCATTCTCCTTTGCAGATGCCATTGTGCAACCCACCTCCTCCCCATCTCCAGCTCTCATCACTAAAGCTCCATTTAAGCCACCGTCATCATCTCCACCATCAGCCTCTAAGCTCCGGGGTGTCCTACTCTAATCCCTTTCAGAGCTGGGGTTCCGGTCCGCTAAGACGGGCCATTGGAGTCTAACCGCCAAACACCTATCTGTATTATGTTCATCAATAAATCATGTTTATTCTTTCCAATGATCTCTCCTTATTGAACTTAATTTCACTTAATTTCACTACCACTGTCTCGCTGTCATCATGCATGTCCTGCACCACCCTCTCAAACGTCTCTGCCACTCCTAACTTCCTTGGTAGAACAGTTCCATGGGCACCCCACCATCTCCTTTTTTTTCTAGCATATGTTACAATTAACACACAAACACATCTATCTATCTATCTATCTATCTATCTATCTATCTATCTATCTATCTATCTATCTATCTATCTATCTAGATAGATATATAGATAGATAGATAGATAGATAGATAGATAGATAGATAGATAGATAGATAGATAGATAGATAGATAGATAGATAGATAGATAGATAGATAGATAGATAGATAGATAGATAGATAGATAAGTTATTAGTTAGGTTGTTTAATATTTCTGCTAAGTACTCTTTAAAATACCAGAATAGGGAGGATGGTGCAGGTTTAAGTTCATTAGATTAATCAGTATTGCTGAACTATGAAATATTTTGTGTGCTGTGTATTTTGAGCATAAAGGTATAACAGAATAGCTTTAGTGTTTTGTTTTTTAAAACTTGAGTATGAAATTTTACAAAATGCAGCAAGATATTTAAAAAAACAGTTTTATTGATTATAAAAGACACTATATTGGGTTCGTATTGGTATCGACAGATATCCATATTTATAATATCAGTATCGGTATCGAACAAAAAAAGTGTTGTTTTAAAAAAGTTTTGTTATTTTCCTGAAATGTCAGGATGCAGATAAGATTTACTCATCCAGGGTTTGGAAGTGGATTTAAAAATGGTGCAAATAACTTCAACAACACCTCAGAGGATATCCAAGCAACACCATCTAGTACTGTCCACATCAGGCCCTGCTCTCTTTCCCACTCACTGTGACATCTCTCTCGTCTCCATTTTTATCATTGGATCCAAGCAGAACTGCTAATGTCTAATTAGATTTACTATAACCTTTTGCAAAGTTTTTAAAGTTAAATTTAAGTTTCCTAAAATTGTAATGATTTGTATTACTTTTTAAAACATTAATAATCAAATAGCCAGCCCAGTGAAGTTAAGAAAGCAACAGTTCAACAGAATCAAGGACCAGCATCACCTGTTTTCCAGGCTACTTCTTCTGTTTGCCATACAGTCTAACATTGTGTCCCATCTGAACCATCTTCATACACTGTGGCAGGACAGACAAATCAGCTGAAAAGCCTGCAGGACTCCTGAGGTCCCCAAGATAACTGCACATTACCCACCTGCAACACAGAAGCACTTCTGACTGTCACAAGCCAGCCTGTGGCTACACCCATGTTAATTTCGCTGATCTGAAGATCATCTTAATTGGAATGAATTACCCTGAATTAATTAACACTGATTTAATCCTACATTTTTGTATTAGCTTCAGTCTTAATTCAGTGGTAACCTGACACATTATTACTTTATTATGCTAATCAAAGCTCAAGTTTCCATCTGGATGGAACAACTGGTAACATCTGTTAACATCTTTGTTTAATGTGTTCTCGGCTTTTTTTGTGTATCGATCGTTTTAAGTAAATCCCCACATGTATCACAAACTACTGCATCTTCTATATGTTCCTTTATGCAAAGATTATAAATGAATGACATGGACTTAGACGCCTACAGTGAGTTATGAAAGAGTTTATATCTCTCTACAGCTGGGATGCGTGTTATTCACACAAACCGTTCAAGACTAAAGCTGCATCAGGTGACACTGGGCTTTATGCAGTAACGAACAGGTGCCGCTGCAGAAAGCGGTGAAGTCTGACATTCCTGTGAAGACTGACTGCAATTTATCTACAGACAAACTTTGTCACCTCATCTCATAAAACCCCTCAAAGGTGTTTTGTCTTGAGTTGCTGTCAGTGTCACCCGTAGTGGCATCTCTCAACTGACACCTTGACAGCAAACCTTGAGAGGCCATGTTGAAAAGGTGCATTGAAGTGTGCTATAGTGTGTATGTGTGTGCATGTGTATGTGTAAGCGAGTATCTGACTGCATACAGCATGGGATACATACACATGTGGATATCATATGGAGCAGCAAACTGCACCACAAGGATTCTCCACAATTTCCAAAATTTATGACATAATTACTTTGCACCCTTCAGCTACTTCATCATCAGTCTCCTCGGACTAATGAACTGGTTTCAGTGCTCTGCAGAGGACCGGTTTGGGTATTCATTGTGTTTAATGTCTGATTTACACAAAGCACAGAGTTGTTCAGTCAGCATCCTCAGACTGAGCTAATCAGATTGACTTCCTATAGGTTTACACCTAATAAGAAAATGAGATTGTGATAATGTAGTATTACAGCACCTAAGTTCACACTTTTAATAAACATCCTAATAAATCTTCTCAGGAGACTATTATTAAACCCCAGCAGGCTGTTACATTTAAACAAATAACCATGTTTGTCTTTTTGTTAATTTTAAAAATTCGGAACACTTTTCACCAGTAAACACTGAACAGGTGAGCATGCACGATAATCATGCAACTGCTTGATAACCGCATGCAACTGCTAACTCTAAAGACATTGTTTCGCTGTCTGACTGTACATGACGGAAAAAATATTAGGCTCTTTGAATGAAGTGAACAACTGCATTTCTTAAAGATACTGCTGGATGTCAGCGGCACCCTTCAGCCTCCTGGTAGATGCACATATGGTATAAATTTGAAAATCCAATGTAACTCCTTATCACATTCACAAGGTTTTCAGAAAACTTGACCTCTGACATTGACCTTAAAGTTGAGGTCAGTGAGTCTCATCATCTTGGCAATTAAGAAAAAAACCAGCTCCAGCCACAACTCTCCTCTCCAGACGTCTCTACCTTTGCAATCTTCTAGTTGCTTCATACTTTCTTACTTGTGTTTTTCTTTGAGTATTCCCAAATGTGTTCACTCCCTGGAAGAAGCCCCTTCACTGAGTCCTCGCTGGACCATCAGCCCTCAGTGTCAGTCTGGGTGAGTCACAGTAAATTTCCACAGCCTCTGCCCTCCTCCTCTGGGTGGAGCCCTCGTGGCTCCTCCTGGGGCTCCCACCTGATGGCAATCAAGGCAGCAGTATTCAAGACTGGCGCTCTTAACCACCTTTTGACAGAATATCAGCTAGCCCATGTTAGTGTGTGGTCTTACATCAGCCTTGCTATTCATAGTGTTTGTACTCACCTTGTTCTCCTGTCTCCTAGTCGTTTCACAGAAGCCATTTTTCAAACCTCGCCATAGCCTTGCTTACCTGGACGCTGGTCTTCTTCATACTGCTGCTGCCAGTAAAATCCTCTCAGTTTCTGCCACTATCACCTGCCTCCCGCGCTACAGCTTGGAATCCTGGACTCACCCAGACCTCAGTCGCTCACTTTCCCCTCCTGATTTTCTCCTGTGAACAAGTAAGGTGTAGTGGTGAATTTCTGTCCCAAGCTTTGAAAAAAGAATTCTTCCCCTTCTTAATGTGAGCTGTCCAGATTTATTTCTGACTCGTACATACAAACAAACAATGTCACGGTCAAAAAAAACTATTTGCTGCTACAGCTCACATTTCCATTGCTGTGCTGGCTCCTTCTAACATGTTACCACCCATGCCCTGTAATGTTTTCTTACTCGACACAAATTAAACACACAGCATATATTCTCTAACAACATATTATACGAAATCAAACATGTACCATAATACCTGAAATAGTATCAGAAATATTTCTCTATAGATTGGCTTTAACCTGAGGCATCAAAGCTAATTAACTGGACAAACTGTCCACTGTGTTTCTGGACCCACCTGACTCTCCTGTCCTTCTATTACAGTGCCCTTGACCCATCTCTGCATCCCCCGTCATGTTCCAGCACCCAGCCATCATAGTGTCCCCTCACAGTTGATGTTATTTGCAATCTTCCCTTAACTGAGTCTCTCAGTTAACATTTAGAGTTTTTGCTCAGTTCATAGCCTTAGCTCTGTTCACCTTGTGCATCACTCCATTGTTAAATAAAGTTCTTTATTCATCACTTTCTTGGCTCTCGGGTTGAATCTCCATTTGAGTCAATCTCTCGTCTCAGGGCGCTCAGCCTTGCCACTCAGAGACAATCATAATTTAAACTAATTTAAAACAAATCAAGCTGTCTATGTCTGCATTGCGCTATTAGAGTCCTAAGAACTATGGCCCATCAGTAGGTGTTGTTAATAAAGTATCCAACCATTCATCTTGGGCAGTCTAAGCAGAAAAGTCCAGGCCTCCCTCTCCCAACTCTTCCGAGGTAGAACACCGAGGTATTCCCATGCCAGTTTGGAGATATAATCTCTGAAGCTTGTCCTGGGTATCCCTGGGGCTTCCTCCTGGTAAAACACTTCACCTACAGCAGGATGGAGTATTCTTTCTCAGGTATCGGGAGCACAGCAGTACCATTTGTGTCCCTGACTGTGTTACTGTAAAAATGTTTATGGTAAAATGGATTCATGGTACTTGAAAGACATTTGACAGATACTACAAACATATAAGCAGCGCGGAAATATCTCTCACCAACTACATCAATGCATATTTCTCAGTAATGGTGTAAAGTTACCAGATTTTTACATTATTGTAAGCCAGACATAACCAGTAGTTATACAGTGCATCCCAATATTTTAGCCTAAAATTATTGATTACAGGGAACTCAGTTTAAATTTTTTGATGCTTTTAAGTGTGTGTTTTTGGTCATGTGCACTAATTAAAAGATCTGAGTTTTGTATTTTGAGAGCAGGTGACCTGCAGGTTAGGGGGCTACACAGAATCTCACTGCTTTCACGACTACTGGGACCTTAATCTGCAGTTTTAATAGTGTATTCATAATCTTCTGTGTTAACTAAAGGCAGCATGTGTTTACCTCTGAACATGGAACATTTTCCATCCATCTTTTTTGAGCAGTTAACTGCACAGCTCTGAGTCATCTCTGCTTTGGAGCTTGGCTCTGTTTTATGCCATGAAGAATGGTGCTTTCTGCCTCCTGGTTGCCTCTGTGAAGATGCTGAAACTTGTCTATGTGACACTGATTTTTCACCCAAACTAAGCCAAGCACACTGCATCCAACTAAAGAAAGCACCGAGGCTATCAGAAATAAAGAAACACGTCATGTAAAACTAGCCAAACTCTTGCAACCTTAGTAAATGTCTTTGTTTCTGTGTGGAAGTGTGACAGCACTATTATTCACTTACGGTGACAAATCATGACAAAATGTAAGGTTTAGGACCTCTGAATGTGTGATACCATCTCTTTTCATTTTTGATGACCTGTAATGTGTTCTCAGCAAGAGAAGAAAAGATGAAAAGCCGAACAGCCCACAGAGAAATTTCCCACCGAGCAGTAGGAGGATCAAAGATGTCACAGTTTTAGGCTGAACCAAAATCTTTCATGTTCATACTGACTGTTCTGAAAAGCAGCTCCGTTTTGGACTTCACACGGATTAAATAGTGCCCTGCAAGAAAGACAAAAAAAAAACCCCACTATTAAGACAAATGAAACCATAGATACCACCCACCACCGCCACCCCACCTCCATTCCCCAACCCCTCCCCTGTGTCTTCACCTGGATGTAATGCAGTCATTAAGCTGCCTGGCTCGCCCATCTAGCACCGGTGTTTTCCTTCCAAGACGGATGGCTCCAATAAACCCCTTATTAATTTTGGCTTCGGCACAGCCTACACCACCGAACAAGCTGAGAAACAAGCTCCTTTTTCCACAGTAACAGCGGACTGGTGGGGCTGAGTGGATAGGAAAGTGACAGTAAAGGCCAGATAATGATGTTAAGCGGCAAGAGGCAAGGAAGCCAGGTCTCTTAGCAACTGTTTCTCCTCTCTGCCGACGCTCTGATATCGTCGGGAATAAACAGTTTGGTGTGTGTGTGTGTGTGTGTGTGTGTGTGTGTGTGCTTAATTGTAGCAGGTGTCATCAGTTTGACACTACAAACAGCTTAGCATAATGTCATATTATTTTCCTTTAAAATCCAATTAGAGGTGATAGATAGTTTTGTAGCTGTCCTATGGCAGCAGAGCCCAAAACATCATGTGCTCTCTGTGTGTTTGTGTTTTAACTTTCTTAAAAGTGTGTGGGGGGCGTATATAAAGAATTAATCTGGAGAAGACATAAAGAGACTTCACATCAGAATCAGAATCAGAATCGTGTTTATTGGCCAAGTATATGTGCAGACACATACAGGGAATTTGGTTCCGGTAGATGGTGGCTCTCAAGCACAGCAATGTAAA